GGTTCGTTTGTAGCTCTACCGTGAATAGAACAATCTATCTATGTACCGCAGCTCTTTTAGCGCTTGCGAATCAAATCGGAAATCAAATCACCTTCCTATCTTTCCCGTTCTTCTTCACCTTCACGCGAATAAATCAGAATTGATTGAGCCTCTGCCTCGACGCGAGTTCACCGTTCATCTCACTTTCGCCTCCTTCCTTCACCTTCGCCTCTTCTGTCACTCGTCGAGTCGCTTCTCTAACTCGTTGGAGTTGCGATAGGGCTGGTATGTATGTTATGTATGCTTCAAACTGATTTTTCTCATTCTTGTAATGTTTTGTTTAGTTGAATTAGTTCTTTTTTGTGTGTAGAAGATGTGATGTTAGGCAATTTATTAATGGTTATGCTTGAATTTTGATTCATACGGGCAAATTTTATGTTGAAGAATTATGTGATTGTCAGTGGTAGGTTTGGTTGTTTGACAGTGTAGTATTTCTGATATGAACTCCCTTTTCTTTCTCATATGAACTAAAGCAGTGGAATTACATGCATCTAAGGACTGATATGTTCTAGTTTTCCATCGTTATTTAGCTGATTGGTATTCACATTTGTAATTTGTTATCCTGTTAAACAGGGCCGGCCCTGGCCCAGGGCAGCCAGGGCTACGGCCCAGGGCCCAACTAGAAGGAGGGGCACCAAAGAGCCCATATAATACTCACATTTATTAGTTTTACCAAAAAAAAGAAAATGTTACTAACTTACGGCACATATAGAGGGAAAAATGGGGGGAGAGAGAGAGAGAGAGAGAGAATCGATTTGGTGCTATTAGTGACGTAAGTGATCTCAGAGGAGAAAGCTTGTTGATTTGTGTTCTTATATTTCCCACTGCCAGGTAAACTAGAATTTCAATCCAAATTTTCATATTCTTTTTCCTCCCAGCCCTAGTTTCTTTTTGCTTCTACTTTCTATTCGAATTGCTTGGATTTTTCACTTAACTATGAATCGAATTCTACTGTTCTTGAGGTCGATTCTACTGTATTTTCCAATGAAAACTATTCTTGAGTTTTTTAATTGAGTTGCTCGAATCACTGTAGTTTTGTGTGTCAACTAGCTCAATTTTGTTTATTTATTATTATTATTATTTTTTTTTTGGACTTATACAAATACTGATTTTTTCAAAAAATTTCATATGGATTAATTCATTCATATATTGAATTCTACATGTTTATTTGGCTGGCTGTGAGTTTGTTTTCAAACTATTGGTAAATGTTTGAAAATGGATGAGTCAGAGTTGACAGTTGGTGAAACG